AGGCCTGCAATGACAGTAGTTGGGAGGCTAAGGCAGGAGAAACACTGTGAGTTTGAGGTCAGCCTGGGCTACATAGTGAGACCCTGTCTCAACTGCCCCCTCCAAAAAAAAAAAAAAAGAGAAAAAAATCAAAAATTGTAGTAAGTGACCGCAGGCAGCACAGAGATGAGACTTCACTCAGGCACCATGAGGCCCAGAGGGGATATTCCTCACCTGGAGCTCCCAGCCACCAGGGAGACTCTGGAGATGAAACAGCCACCAAGGCAAGACCTCCCTGGCTTTTATTTAGAATCTCAGTGTAAGAGAAAAAAGGAGGAGAACAGCAGTTTGGGTCTAGAGCTGGGCATATTTTCTTGGGGAGAGGGGAAGGACAGCGGCCAGACACAACACGCCTCCCTAATTAAACTTCTCGTGGTTTAACCATTTGCTTCTCATCGGCCTGTGCGCTTTTTGCCCACAGTTTAATTATTCTTATGCTTTGGCCCTGGATTTTGACCACTGATTCCTCATCGTGTCTATGTGTTTTTTGTCCCACAGTCTAACCATTCATTCTTCGCCAAGTACCCTACAAAAAAATAATACAATAAGGATGTATCATGCACAGGTACAAATTCTCTACGACGAATGTGATTATTATTGGTATATCTAAGTTATACCAATAAGCAATTTAAAATAATAATTAAATAAATAAATAAAAATAAACTAGGCATGGTGGTGCAGGCCTATAATCCCAGGCTTAAGAGGCTGAAGCAGGAAGATCGCCATGACCTCAAGGCCAGCCTGAACTTAGTGAGTTCACAGCCAGCCTGAACTGCATAGTGAGACCCAGTCTCAAAACAAACAAATAAAAATAAATAGAAAGGGCTGTGGGTGTAGTTCTGTGGTACACCTCTTGCCTAGCAGAGATGGGCCAAGAAGGAGTCCCTGATGCCACAAATAAGTGCATAAAATTTTAAAATACAGTTGTTGACTTCTCACGTGGATACTCCTCGTGCTCCTTTTCTGCTTAATCTTTCTACACTGCATGCATCACCCTCGCACATGTACACTGCACTCTGCGTGTTTACATGGTACTGGGGTTAAAACACCGGGCCTTCACAATGAGGTATCTCATTAGCCCTTTCCTCAGATTTTATTTTGAGACTGTGTCTCACTGTGACAGCACTCAACCTTGCAATCCTCCTACCTCAGCCTCCCAGACTGCTGGGATTACAGGTGTATACCACCACGTCCAGCACACTTCACTTTTGTGTTTCATTCACTGCCTGCCTATCTCCTGAAATGCGAGTACCCCAACCGCAAGGGATTTTTTTGTTGTTGTGCATTGTTGTATACATACCACTCTGAAAAAGTATCCATAGGTGCTCAATAAGTGCTTGTTAAGTGAATGAATGATAGCAAGGATATACAAGGTCTACCCTGGCCCGCTGATGTATGGGTCATCCCCACACCTTATTCAGTGTCCCCATTCCATTCCTAGGCACCTGATCTCTTTGGCCACCTCCTCCAGGGGAACACTGCGGCAGAGAGCGAGGTGGCAGAGGTGCAGAAATGCCATGCCCAGGCTCTCGTTCTTAAAGTGGTGGATCTCCTCCTCACTGGATAGCTCCCACAGCGACACCACATCATTCACAAACTCATACTTGCCCTGGAGGTGAAACAATCAGGCACAAAGGGAAGTATGAAAATGCATGCACTCACTGGCCAGAGAACTGTAATTCTCTATTTTCAGGTACCTCAGGGACAGAGAGAGACCACTGTTTGTGAAAAGGCAAAAAACAAAAACAAAAACAAAAACAGCACACACATCCCTGCTGCCCAATCCTGTGTCTGTGGCAGACATCATTAATCAATCCCTGAACTCGTCCAACCTGCCAAACCAAAATGTCCCAGATGGCCAAAATATCCCAAAATATTCCTAAGTGAATTAGCTACACTGAACTGGAGAAGAAACTGGGGGCTCCTTCAATGCCCCTGAGTCTACCCAGAAACAGTCCCACCTCCCCAGCTCAGCTCATACCTGCTCATAGAGGTACTCAAAGGAGGCTGGATCCAAGATTTGTACCCCCTGCTCTGCCTGTTCTGAGGACGTCTCAGCCCCTGGGAGTCTGCAGCGGAACACGGGTGGTTCATGAGAATTCATGCCATGCCAGTTCCGGAAGTAAAATCTGCAGGACAGGAAGGCACAGGGCAGAGGTCTAGCTCAGGCTCAGCCCAACTCCAGCAGAACAGGGGACATTGGGGCTGGGGCATAGCTCAGTGGCTGAGCACTCAGCTGGCATGCATAAGGCCTTAGGTTTCATTCCCAGCACTGGAAAAATAATAAATTAAAAGGTGAAGTCACATGTGGTAGTGCACAGCTGTAATCCCAGCCCAAGAGAGGCTGAGACGGGAGGATTGCTGTCAGTCCAAGGTCACCCTGAACTATACAGCAAGATTCTGTCTCAGAGAAGATAGTAACAGAATGAGAAAAGAGGCGAGCCTTCCAAGAGGGCCTCTCTCACCTCATGCGGAAATAGAGTATCTGGCTTGTGTCTCCAGAAACTTCCAGGACATGGTTTGGGGGCAGCCACACTTGGGCCTCAGCATCAAAGAGAGCAAAGAGATTGAAGCAGGCTGGCGTGATTCCTGGAATGGGGGAGCAAAGAGGTCAGAAACCACATTATCTACTGCGATCAGCCCTGCAGACACCCAGACCACTGGCCTGCTTAACAAGCCCTTCCTGGACTTCCTCCCCTGCCCACAGCCTATCCCGTGTTACACATGGGCAGAAGACACTGAAGCGCAGGAGCGAACTACATTTCCCAGCATGCCTCACAGCTACAGTGAGGCCACTCTCCTGGTTCTTGGCCAATAGGATGTAGGCCAATAGGATGGGCACGTTTCTGAGCCTGGAAATCAACCTCCTGCCATCTTCCCTGGCCCCAGGGATTTTTAAGACAGTTGTGCCAACTGGCAAAACTATAGGATGGAGGTGACCCATTCAAATCTCATTGATTTTAATTGATTTAATTTAATCTAAACTTGACTGTCCTAAGGCAAGAAGTTTTAGGGGCTGCTTAGTATAGCAGCAAAACATATCCTGCAACTCACAGAATTCTAGAAATTGCTAGCAATATTTGTTAAATATGTGAAAGTCCCCATTACAGCTCTTTCCACACTTTCCATGTCTTTAGGATTCATCCACTTCTATCAGTTAGATCTTTAAAAAAACAGTGATTATTTTACAGTAATAAGGGTTATGCAATGGGGGAATCTGATATACAGAAATTGCATAGCTTAATCAAACATTTTAGATCTAGGGGCTGGGGATTTAGCTCAGCGGCACAGCGCCTGCCTGGCAAGCACGACGTCATGAGTTTGATTCCTGGTACCAGAAAACAAACAAACAAACAAAAAAAACCCACCCAAATATTTTAGATCTTAAATGTCTCTCAATGACATATGTGTTGAAGGCTCAGTCTTCAAGATGCTTAAATTGCCCAGGCTAGTCTTGAACTTACAATTCTCCTGCCTCAGCCTTCTCAATAGCTATGATTACAGGTGTGCACCATCATGCCTGACTTTGGATGCAAATTTTTTTTTTTTTTCCAGTACTGGGAATCAAACTTACGACCTCATACTTGCCCGGCAGGCACTGTGCTGCTGAGCTACATCCCCAGCCCCCTGTATGAAAATTTTAAATGTACATTAATCAATTACTTTTCAGAAGCTTCCTATAGAATGATCCATTAGCTTTGGCTAAAGTCCTTTTTCCTGGCTGCAGAGTATTCCAGTATTTTTGCATATTTCCATTTATTTATGTGTTCTCTGGTTAAGGGATTCATGATGGTCTCCCATTTTTTCCTACAAGAAATGAGGCTCCTAGCTTGGCATGGTGGCACACACCTGTAATCACAGCACTCTGGGAGGCTGAGGTAGGGCAATCACAAGTTTGAATCCACCCAGGCAACTTTGCAAGTTAGTGAGACTCTGTCTCATGAAAAATAAAGAAGGGCTGGGGCTGCAGCTCAGTGAAAAGGCCGAGTCCAGTACCCAGTACTGGAGGAAAAAAAAAAAAGGAAGAAGAAAAGAGGAGAAGGAGGAGGAGAAGGGAGAGCGGAAAAAGGCAGCGGCAGGTGTGAACGTTCTCACACTCGCCTCCTGGGAGCCGTGAGCTAAGTATCCGAAGGGAAGATACACAGTAGTAGCACTCAGCTGAATTATTCTCTAACGTGACCACGTCTGACCGTACTGCCTTCCTGAGAAAACAGGACACTCCCTTGGGAGACCACTTCCCAAAGCACCGATCAGCCTGCTTAGCTCTCTGCCTTAACCTTCCATGGCTCCCTAGTACCACCTCAGAAAGCCCCTGCTTCAGCAACGAGGAACCAAGACCCGATCCTCCTCACTCTGTTCTGGTATCAGTTCCTACTTCTGCTCCACAACGGGTACCCCAGTCACCCCGAAGATCCTGTGCTTCCTCAACTACACCGAGCCCTCCAAGGCTGTCAGTGCTGCCCCCTGGGCTGGGCTGGTGCAGCCTGCGCGCTCAGCACCCGGATCCCGGAGCGACAGGAGAAACCCCGCCCCCAGCGGCAGCGCCTACTCACCTACTCGCTGAGCGACGCGGACGCAGACGTCCTCGGCAGTCAGCGAGGCCTCACGGAAGGTGACCCAGGGCTCCCCGCCGCCGGGGCCGGCCCAGTGCAGAAGGACCTGCAGGCCTCTCGTGGTGGCCAAGGGCTGCACTGCATCCCCGTCGGGCCGGCCGCCTCTCGCGGAGCCTCCCCGCTGGCACAGAGGCATCCTGGGGAAGGGGAGCCCTGAACGCCGAGGTCTTGTGCCCAGGGTCTCCCTGGCTGCGACACCTTCGGCACCTGATTCTTTCCTTAAATCTCAGGTTCCACATTTGTTTGACAGCACCTCGGCCTGGCACACAGTTCTTACCTGATGTGGGGACCCATGCGTATAATCCTAGCACTCTGGGAAGCTGAGACAGGAGGATCCCAAGTGTGAGCTCAACCCATACAGCTCAGCCACTTAGCTAGACCTTGTCTAGCTGGCCATGGTGTGCACGCAGGAGGCCAAGGCAAGAGGATCAACACAGGTGGAGGCCAGCCTGGGCTATACAGTGAGTTCAAGGCCAGCCTGCATTACACATGGATACCCCATCTCAAAAAAATAAAAGGGTCTGGGGATGTAGCTTAGTGCCACAGCCCTGGTTTCAATTCCCAATACTACAAATCAACCAGTAAGAAAAGAAAAAAAAAAAAAGAAAAAAAAAAAGAAATCCCTGAACCACCTTCCCCAAACGGTCCAGGCCGGCAGGTGGGGCCGAACAGACCTAGGGGCGTGTCCTGGAACTTCCGGTGTCCAACTCAAGCAGTTCACTCGGCCACTCGAAGCCTCAGTTTCCCCATTTGGGAAATGGAGGCGCAGCGAATGTCACCATCAGAAGCTGACTGTGAGGTTTCCACCCGGTTCTGCATCTTACCCTTCTGCACAGACCTTAAAACAGGCACGAAAAATCACACACGAGAAAGACGTCACCCACGGGGCTGCGCCGCCCCGGGCGAGAACAGAGTGACTGGGGCCGGTCTCAGCATCGCGGCCCCTTGCTCTTTTTGCCCACCACTGCCGTGCTCTACATCTGCACCAGGACGGACCTGTCCCTGCTACTTCTCCAGAGCCCGGGGAGTTTGTGTCCCAGCTTGGTCCAGGGCCCCGGTCGCCAGGGTCCTCAGCAGGGGCAGTGAACGACTGAAAGGGTGTTACTCGGACGAAAGCACGGGGAGGGGAGGAAATGGGGCTGCTCCGCAAAGGGAGGAATCAGCGAAAGCGCGCGGGAGGCTGAGGCAGGAGGACCGCCGCCAGTTCACGGCCAGCCTGAACTGCATAGGGAGACCCTGTCTCAAAGGTCAAAAGACAGAAAGAAAGAAGGCAGAGAACGTGCTTAGCCCCCGGCCCGGCACAGCATAAGCGTCAAGAAACGCTCGCTATGATTATCCACTCGAGTTTGAGATGACATCCCGGGGGTGGGGCTGGGGGGGGGCCCATTTCCTCTTTCCTCGTCTCCACTGAACCTAGGCCCGGCTTCGAAGATGGAATTGAAGTGAGGTCTGCATTCGGCAGGCTGCACCCCTGGCACGCCCCAAAACCTACAAACACGGTCGGCCCGGCAGTAACTGCGCTGTACACCCGCCGGACATCCGTCCCGCCCAAAGGCAGCGCCTGGCTCCTGTCCACCCCGTGCCAACCACATCCAGTCCCCCGCCTTCCCGATGACCCGCCGGGTGCATCCTTCCTTTTTCATAACTTCCCCAGCGCGCCCCTTCCGAACTCACCCTTCCCGGGAGACATAGGCTCGAACTTGCGACCCTGCCCCACAACCTCCGGGAGCAGCTGCCAGTTCGCAGCTGGTGAAGAACCTCTTCCCATTGGCCGCCTGAAATGCGCATGCCCGCTGGCGGCAGTTCCCCTCCCCTCCAGACTCAACCATTGGGCAAAAGCGGGAAAGGCGCCTCAACGATTGGTCCCGCTCCTCACTAGTAGCTTAGCCGCGATTGGTTAGGTAGGAGCCCGGATACGCCACAGTGTGTGTGATTGGTCACTGCGGGGGTGGGCGGAGACGCGGAAGAGGGTGCATGGCAGAAACGGGCGGAGGATCGTGCTCTGTGGGTCGCGCGGTGCCCAGGCTGGCTGCGGGCGAGCCAGGCTTACGCGATCAGACTCTGCAGCGCAGGTTCCTGGACTCGCCTCGGCGTTCGAGGCTGCAGCCAGCCGCCATCCAACCCTCTTATCCCCGACCATGTTACCCTCATCCTTTCCCGTCCGTCCGCCCGCCCGGCCGCCCACTTCCCCGGGCCCCCTCCTTCCAGGAGGTGGTTGTGGTCCATCTGCCCGGCCCCTTCCTGATCACCGGCAGCCCAGTCCTCTGATGCCCCCTGGCCGGCAGGGCCGCAGTTTGGCAATTCCACCTGACCTGAGTTGGGCGCCTTCTCTTACAGGCCCTTGCCATTGTCCAAGAAGGCTCTGTACGCGCCCTGCCCGTGAGTTCAGGAAACCGCCGTGTGTGCAGGGCTCCTTACCTCCAATTCTCAAGGGAAGAACCTGAGCTCCAGACAAGTAACTGAAAACTCTCTGCTTGTCAAACGTTGGTCCTTGGAGCCCTCTTCACACACAGACCTCAACTTCAGCATTGGTCTTGTGTTTGGTGCGCCCAGCCCGGTCGTAGCTGGAAGTCCTAAAGCATCGCCTGCCCTTCCTGTCCATCCAGTCGCTCAGCCCTTACCTCTGGTGTGCAAATTCCAGGCCCACTTCCAGCCAGAATGCCCCTAGCCAAGATCCCTCGGTTCTTGCCGGTGATGCCAGTTACTCCAGAGGCTGAGGCAGGAGGATCGTTGCGAGTTTGAGGCCAGCCTCAGCTACAAAGTGAGCTCAAGGCCAGCCTGAACTACAAATTAAAACCCTGTCTCAAAAAAAAAAAAAAAAAAAAAAGAAAAGAAAAAGAAAAAAAGAAAAGCAAGTTTAAGGAGAGCCTGGCAAAGCTTAGGATGCTGCTATTTTATGTAGCTCAGTAGTAAGAGTACTTGGCTGGTTCAAATCATCAGCACCAACAATTTATTTAAAGGGGTGGATACCAGAAACTGGGCTCATGACCTCACGCTTGCCAGGCAGGTGCTGCACCACTGAGCTAAATCCCAGGCCCCCAGCACCAACAGTTTAAAAACATGGTTTTTGTTTGTTTGTTTGTTTGTTTGTTTGTTTTTGCTCTTTTTGAGACAGGGTCTCACTGTGCAGTTCAGGCTGGCCTTGAGCTCACTTTGTAGCCCAGGCTGGTCTCAAACTCACAGCGATCCTCCTGCCTCAGCCTCCTGAGTGCTGGGATTACAGGCGTGCGCCACCACGCCCAACTTAAAAATATTTTTAAAACCAAGCTTTCAGGCCAAAAAAATAAAAACGTCTCTGCCACTTTCAGCTTTTCATTTTGAGCCAGCAAATCTTATCTCCCTGTCCCTTTGCTCCACGTTCTGCTTCCAGCGCTAATCACAGCCTTACCACCTCACCCGAACGTCCTCAGAGGTCGCTCTCCATGCCTGACTTCTAGTCCGCGATGTTTACACCACAGGAGACTGAGGGAGGGGCTCCCTGGTGTGTCCCCCCACTAAGCCAGACTGGGGGCAGGGAAAGGATTGGTTAGGGACAGCCTGGGAGCCCAGAGCCTGCTGCCTTAGACTGCGGAAGGTCTGCTCATGGGCTTCCTGCCTCAGCTTCCTGTTGCCCCTTCTGCCAGCAGCAGTCCGGGTCAGGAAGCTGAGGCTGCCAGATTCCTCAATAGTGGGGCCCCTTGTGGCTTTCGGACTCTGGGCTATGAGTGTTTAGGGGACCTGGGATCTGGCATTCACCACCCCAAAAGGAAGCGGCAGGAAATCTCTGATGGGGCGATTACTAACAACAATTGTAATAATCCCAGGAAAAATAATAAGCAATAGTTCCCACTTTCCCAGCCAGGAGGTAGGGCCAAGGGCTAGATGTTTGGCATTTTCTCAGCCGCTTCAGGTTCTTTTTCCTGTTTCATTTTGTTTGTTTGTTTGTTTGAGACAAGGTCGTGATATGGGGCCCAGGCTCACCTGGAACTTGCAGTCATCCTCCTGCCTCAGCCTCCCAAGTGCTGAGATTACAGGAGTGCGCCCCCACAGCGGGTGATCAGCTTCTTTCAAAGTGGGCCCCACTCCCTGACCTGACGGTGAACAGAGAACCTCGAGGTCACTGGCAAGGCTTGTGTTCTGTGCCCAAGGCTTCTGTCCTTCTAGAACGTCTCAGAGCTGCCCGAACCCAAACGGAGGCCTCAGACCCTAAAGTGACCAGGGTTTGCCCAGACCCGAGGGGCTTCCCCAGGGAGGGACTTTCCGTGTGCAGACAGGGACAGTCCTGCTGAAGCAGGGCCAGTGGCCACTTTCCAGGAAAACACAAAAGTTGGGGGTTCCCCTAGGCACACACCCCGCCCCCTCCCCCCGCTGCGGGGCGGGGCCTCCCCCAAGTCCCACGCGCCTGGGAAAAGCCAGAATGGGCCAGTTAAAGACTAAAACCCCACTCCTTTGTGTCCTTTTGAATGGCAGAGTTCAGAAAACAGCCCTGCCCCAAGGGAGGCGAGGGTGAGGTATGGGCTGGGACTCGCTCTAGGGTCTCGTGCCCTGCGCCCCGCTTGCCATCTGGGAAAATCACATCAGCAGTCACAGGAAACAATGACAACCACCAAGGCGGGCGCTAAGGCCCAGGTTCAGATCCCGGCTCTGCCCCAGGAGAACCCAGGCAGGCCCTGAACCTTGCTGCACCGGCTCGCCTCCGTGAAGCGGTGCCGTTCAGAGTCCCGAAGCAGAGGGCTTGGGCTTCAGAGGAGTTAAGACACGTTGGGGGCCGGGGATATAGCTCAGTGGCACAGC